GTCTCTCTCTCAGTGGTAGTGTACAGGACTGTCTGTATTAATCCCAGTGTCTCTCTCTCTCTCTCAGTGGTAGTGTACAGGACTGTCTGTATTAATCCCAGTGTCTCTCTCTCAGTGGTAGTGTACAGGACTGTCTGTATTAACCCCAGTGTCTCTCTCTCTCTCAGCGGTAGTGTACAGGACTGTCTGTATTAACCCCAGTGTCTCTCTGTCTCGCACAGGAACACAGTTTTATCCGGCGCTATGAGGTTCTGGAAGTGGATGTGGCAGGCTGGTTCCAGGAGGTGATGGAGCGGACAGAGTCACCGCGCACCAGTCAGCTCTACAGCCAACAGCACCTGCATTCGCTGTTCAGCAGGTAGCCAGGAGGGGGCAACACGGAGAGAGGCACAGGGAGGGTGGGTGGGACCCGACGGACAGACAGGCACTCACTGGTGGCGACCGAGTGGCAGTGAGCACAGACAGACGGACAGACACCTGCAGACTCATCCTTGTGTCCTCTCTCTGAGCGTGGGTCTATAATACAGACAGGTGTTTCTCCTCTCTGCTGAGAGGCTCGACATTCAGGTGTCGGATAGCTTTGCAGGCACGTCAGTGCGACGCCAGGATTGCCAAAGCGAACAGAAAGGTGCAATAGACAGTACACACAGAGGATGAAGTCATCTGTTTAAAGATGACCTGGAGATCCAGGAGAATTATACAGAACACTTTGACAGGGGTTGTCAACAGGCACACAGAGTGTAGAAATGGCCAGCAGTCCAGGGTCTTCAGACAGCCTCTCTCGGTCTGTGACAGGTTGTGTTGTACAGAGTATACAGAGGCCAGTGATTGTTCATCTCTCACACACAGCTGGTCACTCTCATTTACAGTGATTGTCCAGCTCTCTCAGACACACACAGTTGGTCACTCTCATCTACAGTGATTGTCCAGCTCTCGCAGACACACACAGCTGGTCACTCTCATCTACAGTGATTGTCCAGCTCTCTCAGACGCACACAGCTGGTCACTCTCACCTACAGTGATTGTCCAGCTCTCTC